GTAGTTGACGAGCCGAGGAGGGGCGCCCCAAGTAGGGCCGGGGAAGGCAAGGAAAGCCTGCCCGGCACCGGACAGGCAAGGGGCGAGTCCTGCAGTAAGGTAGGCAACCGTAAGAGAGGGCCAGAGAAAAGGATGCGCAGAGAGAGGGGGCGCGCACCGGGTAGGCAGAAGACACAGTCGGATGAGGAGGATTCGCATAGACGAGGCGTAACAACGGCGAAGGAGGTCGCCGCTTCTGTGGAGAAGCAGAGGCTGGGTGGAGGCGAAGGTGAATGGCAAAGTAGCGACGAGCGAAGTTACCTGTGGCACGAGCCGAACTAGAGGCAACGCGGCGGAGTCTTGGGAACGAGGTAGAGAATATGAATGGTAGGTAAGAGAGTCGGCATGAGGCTGGAGGCTTACGTTTTCTGCTGTCGATGACTGCATTAGGTTATTTTCGTACTCTCTACTCGATTGCCGTGCGAGCGGCCCACCCGCCCTCCCACTAACAGCCAAATGGCTGATCGGAGTTGTCTTTGAAGGGTTTGGGTACCGCGGGAGTGTGGTCGCAGACGCAATGGCCTTCCCCACAATAAGTTAGTAGTGAGTACGGATCACGCGATGACGTTTAAGCAATGGGCTTGCTCTAAATTTTATTCTAGGAAAGGACGAGCACGTTCAAAAAGCTAACCTTGTTTGGCAAGTGCCTAATTGAGCTATAGCTGTGCGCTGCTGCTGCGCTGCTGATCAACCGCAATCGTACTCAATATTTTTTGCTTTTGAACTCGGCATAGAGTTGCAGCGCCCTTTTGCTCGTTGCAGTGGGTCATTCCTCATAATTAGGTGTTTATATCCAAGAGTGTTGGACAGCTTGGGAAAAGGGCACACAAGCCGTTGTGCAACTCGCACGTCACGCCGTACGTAAAAATCCTTGAATGAAAAGGTCATTAGTAATAGAATGCGCTCGGGCTCACGGAATGTGAGCAAGCAAGCAAGGTGCGTTTAGCATAAGGGTTTGAACCCAGCATGCAACCAGCCCAACGTGCAACCAACCCGATCCAAGCGTTGCATGCACAAGCGAACCGTACCATCGTAGTAGTATTAATAGATGTAGTAGTAGACGTAGGTGTTCCTATCAGCTATTGCAAAGCGTACTTCATCCAAGGATGCACGACTTTGCGGTCATCCAAGATCGTAACGATACTCAAACAACAAAACGAAAAGGTGGTTCGAAGGCCCGACGCTTCGTCCAGGGGTCCAGCACATGTCAAGTGCGATGATTACTGTTTGCACGTTGATGGAAACAAATTAAAAAGAGTGACATGGCGCCCCACCTGGCCTCCGTCCCTAAGCCCGCAACGGTAGCCACACGAGCCAGTCCAGAACTCGTTCGTTCCCCAAACCCTACCCGTCACAACACTTCCGCACAGACATACCGCCCTCACAGTCCGTTTGGACACTGCCCCATTGCCGCCAAGAAAGAGGCACCCGTGGCCTCTCCTAAACGCCCAGCTATTTACAGGGTGCTCCAACTTTCCAATATGCCGCAGGCTACCCTTCCACACACACAAGATACACACCAATGCTGACATCCCTAGCTGCACCCCGTCTTGAGGACTTAAAAGACGGGGTGGTGCAGCACGCCATGCCGATTTTTAGCGAACCAGAAGCGGGCTCACGTGCCGGCTTTGCTGATACGGGCACATGTTCCGCTTCAATGACGTGGTGCTGCTTCTGCTGCTGCGCTCAATACGGCGCATAGAACCGGCCACGGCCACGGCCTCGCGGCGGGTACCTGCAGTATACGTGATGGTACGAGGCAACGTACGAGGTGACGTCACCAAGACATTCGTAGACGAGATGATGGCGAAAAGGAAAACTTTTATTTCGAAAAATCCCGTCGCGCTCAAGCCATTGATGATTTAGGTCCATTTTTTGCATGGCGCATGCTTCAACCGAGCCCTTTTCTCCATACAAAACCATTACCCTGCTCGCTGAACCGAGACCACCCCGACCCTCCCTCCAACAAAACCCGCCCGGCGATGACCCGCCCGTGCTCCCAAACTGTGTGTGTGTGTGTGTGTGTGTGTGCATCAAACCGAAAGGTACCTAGGACCGGTGCGGTTGCCAGGACACAGGATCAGGACACAGCCAATACCCCTCCTCTCCGGCCAGCTCCACCCACAGCCATCAAGCTCCACCTAGACACTCTCTTGCCGCAATACTCCGGTACGTCACCTCACGGCCCCACACTCACCCCGGGGGTGCTCCGTAGTAGCCCCCACGTCCACGGTAAGGTGGTGGATAGTACCCTCGGCCTCCGTAGTGGGGCGGCGGATAGTAGCCGGCGGGCGGCCCGCGCCCCCGCCCACGGCCGCGAGGCACCTTGAGCCCTGGAACGTTGGTGCGCTTTTGCAAGACCTGCGGCACCGGCCACCAGGCGCAACTCAGACCCACAGCTCTTGTTTGTACTTCGCCGCGTGAGCGCGAACAAGGGGGGATAATGACAGACCGACCAAGAGCAGCCAGGAGACAGTAGGAGAGAAAACGAACAAGGTCAGACAGCCGCGCCTTTATTATGAGCGTTACTTTGGACGGAGCTGAGGCACAACGTTGCAAGCGCGACGTAAAATGCCGCTGTTGCCGGGGACGGAATCCCGCCCCACGTGCGGCATTCCCCTCGGTACTGCTTCTTCCAGTCCTTCCCCAACGGAGCAGCCCGGGGAGGTTCTCATACCTCCATTCCATAAACACGTACCCCACCATGTACACCCACCCACCCAGCCGGCGATGTGCGTCTCACGGCTCCCAAGAGTTGACCCACCCTGCTACCTTAAGTTGCCGGCCTCGCAGCTCCGAGTTGTCCAGGAGCACTGCGTTCTGCACCGCGTCCACTTCCAAGAACTCCACGTAGGCGTAACCCTGCATAGTTTTTTATACAAAAGCAAGGAAAAGGCGTATTGCGATTGTTGCCGTGTTGGGGCTTGGGGAAGCAAAAGTCCGGGTTCGGGAAGGAGGCAAATCAGGGCCGAAGGGCTCAGTAGCTTTAAACCAAATCACGACGGAGCATTTACTTAAGTGCTAGTGCCTCTGGAGAAAATGTAATAGCCTGTTCGTGTAGTTATAAACTACAACTAACCAAGTTGCTGGGATTGCCTCAGAGACCAAGCAACTACAAGCAGAAGCTTGTTCTTAAAAGAGTTGCGTTGTCAAGAAGAGCACTGGAGGATCGCCTCAGCAGGGACAAAGCATGAGCACAAAGGCTACGGTTGCGCCCTTGACAGGACCAAACACCTTTCCCCGCGGCGCACGTGACCCAGGAGTAGACCCGGGGGGGGGGGGAAATGGGCTGTTAGATATCGCACCTTAGGGTTCCCGAACTTGTCCGTCAAGATTGTGACTCGGTTCACAGTGCCGCATTGCTGCAGGAGGGCGGAGTTTGAATGAACATATTACAGGAGGAGGCGAAGATGCTATCACAGACATGTCGGGTGGTGGTCCTTCGGGGACAGGGGTTGAGGTGGTGTGGCCAGGGCGCTGACAGGGCAGAGGGGGGGGCCCGCAGGACGACCCCACCTTACCGCGAAGTGCTGCTGCAACTCCTCGGGTGTGCATCCGTAGTCAACGTTCCCGACGTATATGGACCGCGAGTCAATCTCTGCTTTCTCCACGTCAGCAGCGGCAGCTGCAACCGCTGCAGCGGCTGCCGCTGCAGCGCCATTGGCGGCTCCCGAAGTCCCGGCTGCTGCGCCGTCAGTGGCGACACCCTGTCGCGATAACGCCAAAACGATCAGCACACGCAAGCAATCTTGGTTTGGTACAATCCAGGCTTACCGCCAACGCCTTAATTCGCGCAGCCTCCTCTTCCATGTCTTTCAATCTCCGTTTCAAGGCGTCCAGGTCTCGTTCCTGTTCATCTAGCGCCTGTTCAGTGGCCGATATATTAGCAACTCTTCCAAAGCGTGTCCAAAACTGCTTGTGGCAATTTAGCATCTCACCTCACCGCCCTGCTCAAGATCGTCGCCGCCTTCGCCCTCACCAAGCTCCTCGCCCTCGCCCAGCTCCTCGTTGTAAAGCTCCTCATCGGCCATGGCAACGGCCTCCTACTTACAACGCGACTTTTATGATATTAACGGGCTAACCAACAATACAAGAAAGCAGCACAGTTTGTAAGGCTTTGCTCAATTGCAGACCAGGATGTCAGGTTTTGGCGCAACTATCCAAGTACCACGGGCGATGGGTTCCGTTTGGTCGACAGGTGCACGACTGGTTTGTCGGGATTTTGCGGGATTACACTTTACACACAGCATGTAATTTTGGTATCTTAGACCAACCGGTCAAACGACCTCGGAGTCAAGCACTCCATCGCTTCCGCAAACACATTCCAACTTAAGAAACATTTTCTATCTGACTTACATGGCGAGCCCAGGGAATACCATGCGCACCCAGTCGGCGAAGGCCGACCATGAGCGCTATCAGCTGCGCCAGGTGAGCCCCTCTAGGGCAAAGGAACTGGTACAAAAGGTCCAGGAAATGTATGAGAAGTACGTAAGGCGTGCCCAGCGTAAGGGCATAACACCGCCGTCGCGCATGTTTGACAAAGTCAGACAATTCTGCGACGAGCAAGGCTATCGCTCCGCACTAGGCTTCCTAATGGAAGCTAATGAGGAACTCTCCTATGTGCAGAAAAGCCGCGAACTGCGGGAGCGTTTTAGCCACTGCGGCGCATGACGCCGACAACAACGCCAATGGAGCGCACGACCCAACAGGTCCCGGACCCTCGCGCCCACGTACTGCGCAGCCAACTGCTGCCGCCGCGGAGCCGGCCAGGGTAACTGGGCCCACCGCCGCGCTCCAGCCGCAACGCGGCACACGGCAGGGTGAGTTGCGCAAAGAGTGTGAGCGTAACGACATCACTGCGGCTAACCTCGTCCCGCCTGAGGGAGGGTTGCCACCACTTCCCACCCACACCGCCCAATTGGCGCAATAT